AGCTCAATGTTCGTTGCCCAGACTTGGGTTACCGGGGCCCTACCCTGGAGCTTGGGGGAGGGGCTTGTCGGCCAGCGCCTGGTGACTGGGTCTCTACACATAGGGCCCAGTTGGGCTCAAATCAAACAAACAACATGGGTTTGCCTTCCTGTGGGCCTACCACCTGCAGGAGGGGGCATAAGAGTTGGTGCATGACTCCATGGGTGGGGGCCAAAGGCAGGGGCCTTGGCACCCTGGTTGACCAAATTGGCTCTTGGGACATGGAACATACCATAACCACTCTGGGGGGGTGGGGGGGGGGGAGCCTGGGCTTGTGCATGAGGTTGAGAGGTACTGACTAGATACTGAGCTCACCTCGACAGTCAGCATGGACTTCAGAACCAATCTCCTTGAGAGGGGTAGGACCTTATTTCACTCTGGAGTTTCCCATGGTGAAAGGTGCTGGGCTCATGTGGGTCTACTCTTAGCCCCACAGTTTGGTGCCTGTGTGTTGGAGTTTTCCCCAGTAAATGAGTGGGTAGCTTCCCTGAGCCTTCAGGTGGACGGCAGGCTCTGACAGTTGTTTGTGCCCTGGTGCCAAATGGCAGTTCATAGTATTGTTAGCAGGGGTACTGGAAGGTGCTCCAGCTGGGGACTCTTTTATTCTGCTGCAGGGACTTCATTGCCCATGTTGTCTTGGAGGGGCATGGTTGGGAGGAACAGTCTTTCTGATCTGAACCCAAGTGGTGTTCTGTTGATGGACTTTGGTGCTAGTCATAGTTTGTCCATCACAACATAATGTTCAAACATAAGGATGTCCAAATGTGCACTTGGCACCAGGACACCCTAGGCTGTAGATCGATGATTGACAATGTAGTCGTGTCATCTGATTTGCTTGTTTTGGACACTCGGGTGAAGCGAGGAGCTGAGCTGTCAACCGATCACCACTTGGTAGTGAGTTGGATCAGATGGTGTGAGGAAGATGCCGGACAGACCTGGTAGACCCAAATGTGCAATGAGTGTTTGCTGGGAATGCCTGGCTGAAGAACCCATCAGAAAGATCTTCAACTCACACCTCCCGGAGAGCAATAACCACATTCGAAAGGGTGGAATGCTCTCTTCAGGACGAGGGTGAGGTTCTGCCTCAGGTGAAGGAGTTCAAGTATTGGGGTTTTGTGCACGAGTGAGGGAAGAATGGAGCGTGAGACTGACAGATGGATTGGTGCAGCGTCTGCAGTATTGAGGACTCTGTGTCGGTCCACTGTGGTGAAGAGGAAGTTGAGCTGTAAGGTAAAGCTCTCTGTTAACTGGTTAGTCTACATTCCTACCCTCACTTATAGCCACAAACTAGGGTAGTGACTGAAAAAATGAGACTGCAGATACAGGTGGTTGAAATGAGTTTCCTCCACAGGGTAGCTGGACTCCCCTTTAGGGATAGGGTGAGAAGTTCAATTATCCGGTAGGGACTCGGGAGTAGAACAGCTGCTTCTCCATATCGAGGGGAGCCAGTTGAGATGGTTGGGGTCTTTGTAAGGATGCTCCCTGGGCGCATCCCTAGGGAGGTGCTTCTGGCATGTCTGACTGTGGGGAGGCCCCGGGGAAGACCCAGGACATACTGGAGAGACTATGTCTCTCGGTTGGCCTGGGAACATCTTGTAATACTCCCAGAAGAGCTGGAAGAGGTGGCTGTGGAAAGAGATGTCTGAGCCACCCTGTTCAAGCTGCTGGCCCTGCGACCCGACTTTGAAACAAGCGGAAGATAATGGATGGAAGGATGGATGTTTTTATGTTTATTTTTATTTATTTTATTGTGAATCACTTTGTGAAAGGTGTTAAATAAACACATTTTAATTGACTGTTTATTAGTGGCTGCTGGACAGATAAAGGAAATGTTTACATTGCTAAAGATAGATTGATTATTCAGCCAAATAAAATTGGTCAATTTTAGTCCAAAATTTTTTAAGCTAGAATGCTCTTCTATACATTAAATGTAAAAGTTCTTCTAATGGTTGTTAAA